TGGTGGGGGCGGCATTGCTGGGTGGTATGGCGGCAGTGGGTTTGTGGGGTGTCTTGGCTGCACTGCTGCGGGGGGGGGTACTACACTGGAGGGGCTGGTGTGTCCTCTGACCCGCTGTCCTGTGTTAGAGGGCTTGGGTTTATTTACACCCTCACTTCCCATTCCTGGGGTCCGTGGCGGGCCTGGGGCCTGGGGCTGGTTTGCAGTGGGTATACCTTGCATTTGTGTTCAGCACTCCTTCCTGAGCACTGTTGTGTGTTACCTGGGGGAGCGTGTCTGTCTATGCAGTGTTAGGGTTTGCATGGATCCCGTTGTATGGTAGCAGGGGCCTGGCACCCCGCGTTTCTGCAATGCAGAGTTAATCGGGGCTGCTAGTGCCTACTTACAAGTGTGTCCCTTGCCTGCTGTTGTCACTGCCGGTGGAGGTACTGTTCAGCTGTGTAGTAACTATTTGCTTTATGATGTTAATTGGGAGTGCCAGACACTGCCAATGTATTTGTGGGGTGGGTTTTTTTGAAACAGTGCATTAAATGGGGGTGCTCTGCCTCTGGGGTTCCTGTATTCTGTAGGGAGTTTATGCATTTGATGGCTTGGGTTTATTTACACAGAATCCGTTTCGTATTGGGGGATGCCCTTATTTTAGCAGCTGTTGGCTGTCCTGGCCTGTGTTTTGGGTGTGAGAAGATGCTGGGTCTGCACCTGCCACGTGTTGGCGGTATGTGCATGGGTACTCAGACCTGGGCTGAGGTAGGGCTGTGCTGTCACTGCAGTTGTGGGTCATTGGAGTGGGGTCTGGGGCTTGGGAGGGGTGAGTTTTCTGTGCAGTCATGCTTGTGGCAGAGGGAGGAGGGCTGCAGTGGCTGGTGAGTCAGGCACATGTCAGCCCTGTGTGCGTGGCCAGTTTGCCAGCTTGCCCCTGGGCTGCTCCCACCACTGTTCACTAGCCTTGCCCCTCTGGGAGAGAAGGCAGGTTGCTCCTAGTCCCTGGAGGTAGAAAGATTGGATTCATAGGTTCATGTTAAGGCAAGAAGAAGGGGTCATTAGGAACATACCTGATTTGTACACAGAGGCTTCTCCTCGGTGATCCCTGCTTCCAGCCCCCTTGTTATCTCGAGTTGCTGAGAGGGGACAGGGGTGAGGTCAACCCTTTGGGATTGCTTACAACCTCAGCCTGTCTCCAGACTCCCCAAGGGGACCACCTGGGCTGGGCCTGACGCTGAACCCAACCCAAACAGAAGCAATACGCTTCTCAGGTGTGGATTAGATCTGCTAAGTGGCTTTTCAACTCCGCTCCAGTGACCCCCTCCTCCATTGCTGAGCAAAGGATTGGGAGCATCTTGCTTCTGGCTCTCTCCAGGCAGAGGGTGTGGGGCAGGGTCCTGTGTTGGCGACACTGCTCTGTGGGGTGGTGCAGCACTGGAAGAGATGGACCCCTCTGCCACTTGTGTCCCCTGGGTGGGAAAGGGGGAGTGACCCCCGCCCTGTCCTCCTGGGAATTATGCTCCTATCCCTTTATCCTTGGCATCTGAGAGTGTCCCCACAGCCTGGGGAATCCCCCACACAGGACCTCCTGCCCATGATGCTGAAAGGAGACAGGAGACGCTGTCAGCAGCGACATGACCCTGATGTCAGAGCATTCTGACAGGGAGACCCCCCCCCCCGCATCTGGCCCCCCAGGAAATTGTCAGAACTAGTCCCCTGGCAAAGACCACTTGCCCTGGAGTTGAATAGTAGTTGCTTACGGAGGGGTGAAGTGGTGATTTTGCTGGGGTCTCCCAAGTGTTATGGAAACATCTCTCTGCTCATCTGTTGCATCCGAAGAAGTGGTTTGTAGCCCACGAAAGCTTATGCTCTAATAAATTTGTTAGTCTCTAAGGTGCCACAAGTACTCCTGTTCTTTTTGCGGATACAGACTAACACGGCTGCTACTCTGAAATCTCTCTGCTGTTGAGAGCATGAGGCCCCTGGTGCTGCTGTGATACTGTCTGCAGCTGTCACTGGCTCCTGACTCCCAGGGGCCAGCCCTCCACCTTTTATCAGCCTGTCCTCAGGCCCTGTCTGGAGACACAGCGTGGGGGAGGGGCATCTCAGTATCCCAAGATTACTCCCTGACTTCTGGCTGGTTGCCAGGGATAGGAAACCCAGATTCCCCACACTGGAGCCAGGGTGACACCCCCCGCCCCCCATTCCTTGTTAAGCAGGATGCAAGCTCTGAACTGGGATTGTAACAGGGGTTTGGTTATTGCAGGGCTGTGATTAGAGGGCCCCATAGCAACCTGGTGACACAGTCCCAGCCTCTGCCATTGCCTTGCTGAGTGTGCCTCTAAGGAGAGTGGTGGGGATGTCTGGCTCCTTGGAGTTTGGCCCTGGGGATACTGTTCCCCTGAGAGTATTCATTGTCTGGCTCTGGCTAGTTTGCACAGCACAGCTCCCCGACTTACGCAAGTGTTCTGTTCCCAAATGCCTTGCATAAGTGGAAGTTTGCGTAACGTATCTCTGACAATTACGCGCCCAAAAAAAAAAGTTTACGGGGACGTTTTCCGTAAGTCGGGTTTGCATAACCCGGGGAGCGTCTTTATAGCACAGGTGATTTGGTTCACTGGAGATGGGGTTCTCCACAAAAATTACTAAACAACCCCAGGAGGGGGGGACCAGTAGGGAGGTCAAAGCCAAAGGCCCAAGAGCTTCATCTCTGGGGGGGGCTGTAACCTGAGCTCTGTTGCCCAGGTCTGAAGCAGAAGCCTGAGCCCTGGGCGGTGAGGCTTGGCCCAGGCAGTCTAACGCGACTTTGGGGTCCTGCTGCACAGTAACCGCTGCCTTAGAGGGAAATGGTGAAATGTACCAGCCTGGGGTACACAGGAAGTCAGACTGAATGAATCTATAGCTCCAGCAATCTAGCATGGAAGAGCTGCAGGAGACCTGCATGTGGTGTCACTTCTGCTTGTGCTACCTGTGCCTCATGGGCGTGTAGTGCTACCTAAGTGGAGTCCCCATCTCCTGTCCCTTCCACTTCCTGCTGGAGGGAACAGTCCTGTCCCGAAGGCATAGAAATAGATGAGGCTTTTCACAGAGCTAATCTGCCGCCCTTTGTTTCCAGACCTAACCTGGATGTGTGCCAGAACCTTGGCTCTGCAGCCCTGAATTTCTCTGGTGCCTGCAGTGTGGATTCGGAGCTAGTCCCTCACTGGTGACACACTAGTGTTGTGTGGGGCATTGGTGTTCGACAGCAAGATCTCTGGGTCTGGGCCCTTAGGAGAGGCTCTTGGTTCGTGCTCCCATAGAAGCAGTTGGGAATGCAGCCCTAGGCTAGCGGCAACTGGCTAGAGTTCATGGCCTCTCCCTGGGCATGCGTGTGGCTGAGAATTCACCCACATCCCTGGGAAACAGATTGCCTTAGTACACTTTCCTCTCTGCCTTTCGCTTGGGTTTGGATGGATGTTTTCGGAGCTTAAAGATAAGCAGAGCAATCTTCCCAGCACTAACCGTGCCCTAGGAGTGGGTATAGATAGCACAGGCGCCTCTCAGCTTTGCTTCAGGGATGGTTTTTGGGGAGACTTTTCAGAAGAGCTCCTTCCCGGACCCAAGAGTAGCTGTCGGCAGCAGGCCCAGAGTTCTTTCCCTCCACCCCAGGTGTCCTGCCCCTGTGGTGTCTGCAGGCCCTTTTGCTCTGTGTGCTGGTGGCCCAGGGCCAGATGGCATGAGCTTCTTAGTCCTAGAGTTACCCTTTTAATGGTGTCTTTGCTCCCATTTCAGGATTTTGGGGGAGGGCAGTACTGGGCTCATGGGCCTGGCGACGGAGTCGACCCCAGGCAAGCGGATCCGCAAGCCGTCACTGCTCTACGAGGGTTTTGAGAGCCCCACCATGGCGTCGGTGCCAGCCCTGCACCTGCCTCAGGTGAACCCTCCACCACCGGAGGTGTCCAACCCCAAAAAGCCAGGCAGAGTCACCAACCAGCTGCAATATCTCCACAAGGTGGTGATGAAGGCCCTGTGGAAACATCAGTTCGCCTGGCCCTTCCGCCAGCCTGTCGATGCTGTCAAGCTGGGCCTGCCGGTAATGAGTCCTGTGGGCTGGGCATGGGAGTGGCTGAGGCCCAGAGGGTGGGAGGGGTGTGAGTGTGTGTGTGTGTCTGTCTGTCCCCAGTTGATCCTTACTGGCTTGGGGAGTGTGTGCCGTTCCAGGGGTGTTAGGAGGATGCCTCATTCAAATATTGCTTCACCATGTGGCCTAACCTAAAGTATTCCCCCCCGCACTCCCCCCAGCCTGACAGTCCCAGGGACAGCACTGTCCCATCCTGGGGTCTGTGCCACAAAGATGGAGCTGCAGGTGCCTGGGCTGTGCCATCCCCAACTCCTCCTTCCCGACCTGTGGTGGTCTCTCAGCTGGTTCCATGCTGTCCCAGAGCTGAGGGTCTCCAGGTCCCTGTAGATCCGGCCTGCTTGGCTTGTCCTGGGAGCTTCCCCAGACCAGCCGCCCCACCCTACTGCTCCCTACAAAGGTGTGGATGAGGTGAGGCAGCCCCTTTACAGGTAACCCGGACACTTCCCCACCTAATCTCTTGTGCCCTGAATGCGTTTTGCAGATTCCCATCCATGAATTTGTAGAAGACATCACGTGACCCCAATATTAAACGCCAGCCCCCCGTGCACCTGTGGCGCTCAAGGATTTAAAGCCCGGAGGTAAATTCCACTTAGGTTTGCTCTTTCCTTAGCTTTAGTCTCCCAGCCCCTGTCGCACCCTGCCTGGGACTAGAGTAGTCCAGGTTGTTGGGTCACTGGGACCGCAGCCATTCATGGTCACCAGCTGTCCCAGTAGCTTAGGCTTCTCTGCTCTGGGGTGCGCAGGGGTCCCCGTCCCTGAGTTGTATGCGAGGCTGAATCTAGTGTTGACTGGAACACTGCAGGCACCCGAGGACCCGTGTCATTTGCCAGGTGACGTGAGTGTAGAAACCGGAATGAGATCTGTGTGCATGAGTGACATTACACCGCTCCTGCATCCGTGTGCTCCTCTTGGGTATTTCTGGACTGAGATGCCATCCCCCTCCCTTGATCGTATGCCTTTGGGGCGCGGGTGTGACTGGGATCCTTGTTGTAGGGCTCACGCCTTGTGACTGACCTCCTGGTCCCTTGTGCTCTTCTGCCGGCAGGATTATCACAAGATCATCAAGCAGCCCATGGACATGGGGACCATCAAGCGGCGTCTGGAGAACAACTATTACTGGGGGGCGGCGGAGTGCATGCAGGACTTCAACACCATGTTCACCAACTGTTACATCTACAACAAGGTGAGAGCCAGCCCTCCCTGCAGTGCTCTCCTCCTTGGGCTTTCCCTGGAGCCGGCGTGAGTCCCAGCCCCTTCCCTGCTCCCTCTAATCCCTCACCTCTGCGTTGGCCTACAGCCCACGGATGACATTGTGCTGATGGCCCAGACCCTGGAGAAGATTTTCCTGCAGAAAGTGGCTCAGATGCCTGCAGAGGAGCAGGAGATTGTCATCACCGTGGCCAAGAACAGCCACAAGAAGGGGGCTTCCCGGGCGGCAGGTACGTGCGCTCTGTGATGGGGAGACTAGTCGGAGTTGGCTCCGGAGGGGTGGGGGCAAGCAGATCCCAGACATGGAGGAATATGAGTCCCCCTGGAAGGGTGGTCTGGAAATGCGGGGGATGTAGTGGTTAGAGATGGGTGGGCTGGGAGCCAGGACTCCTGGGTTCCATGGTCAGCTGTGACATTGGGCCAGTCCTTGTGTGGTGGTGACTATATTCCCAGGTGCTGGCGCTAACTGGTGCTTGCGTATTCCCCCAGCTCTCCTGGCAGGTGCAGTCACTGCAGCTCACCAAGTGCCCGCAGTCTCCTCGGTCTCGCACGCCTCGCTCTACACCCCAAGCACTGAGATCCCCACCACTGTGCTCAGTATCCCCCACCCCTCGGTGATCTCGGCACCGCTTCTCAAATCACTGCACTCCGCCGCCTGCCAGCCAGTGTTGGCTGTGCCCGCTCCCACGCAGCCCGTGGCCAAGGTAGGCACCCACCTGTCTGGCGTGGGGCTGGGGGTGGTCGAGTGAGCAGCTGGTGAGACTGACAGGGGAGTTGGTGGATCAGGCCTGTGGGGCAGGGGGGTTTGGCTGGGTTGAGCCGTCTGCAGTCTGTCCTGCTGTGGAGGGGGTGGCGTTTGCAGACCTGGAGGAAGGGGCTGCGGTTGGCCATGTGGGGGTCAGAAAATACTTGGCTGTGGGGGTGCTATTTGCATTTGGGCCGCAGGGCGGTGGGGTTTCTGCAGTTGTCCCATGTGGGACAGGTGCTGGGTGGTTTGGGGTTTCAGTTGGTTCTGTATGGGCATGAAATTGGGGGGGTTGCTCAGCGCACTGCTCATGTTCTCTGTCCCTGCCCCACAGAAGAAGGGTGTGAAGCGAAAAGCGG